GGCTCTGGGAGGGGAGCGGGGGCTAGTGGGTTAGAGCAGGGGGGCTGCGAGTCAGGGGTCCTGGGCTCTGTGGACTCTAGGTGCTGACTTTGTGGGTGCTCCAGGGCTGAAACACCCACAGAAAAAATCAGCCACAGTTGATAGGTGGGGCTGCAGATCAGCTGTTCGGCAGGGCCACAGATCAGCTCTTTGGCGGCTGGGGGAGGCACTTGGGGGAGGGCAGAAAGCTGTGAGCGGTGGCGGGGGTCTCGAGGGAGGGGTTGGAGTGGGGGCAGGAAGAGGCAGAGTGAGGGCAGTGCCTCAGGGGGAGGGAGCAGAAGGGGTGGGAAGGGGCGGAGCGAGGGTGGGCCCTTGGTGGAGTGGGTGGAGCAGGGCATGAAAAGGCGGGGCCTCAGGGGAAGGGGCAAAGTGGGAGTGGGGTCTTGGAGTGGAGCAGGGGTGGAACACCCTCAGGGGAAAATAAAAGTCAGCGCCTGTGATGTGAACTCAAGGGATCAGCGTTGTACTGGACTTCCTCCTTACTTGGCGCCTTCTCTGGACATCGGATACCAGAGACCGCGTTGTAAATCAGCACGCTGAGCAGCAAACCCCTGGGGATTGTCATCCGGAAGCGCCCCACCTGTGCGTCCCAGTGCACGTGAGCCATAGCAGGGGATGAGAGCTGGAGTCCTTCACCTGGATAAGCCGATCCTGGGACAGGAGAACAACAAAAATCCCGTTAGATGCGAGAAGGAGCATGAAAAGTTAGATGGAGAGAGACTGAACATAGAAATTGGATGTGTTACTGGAGAGATGGAAAGTCAGAGAAAGCAAGCCACGTTACTGGGGCTGTTTACTGGCGAAATGTGTGTTGTAATGCAGATGATAAAGAAAATATAACTAGTATCGTTTCTACCTATGGGAGATTGAGTAACTCTAGATTTGTGCCAGGGTAAATAAGATCAGAATCCAGCCCTGACTCAATTAACTCCCCTGGGGTCACTCTGGGTTTACCGGGGTGGAGGGGGCAACGAGATAAGAACCCAACCCTGACCCCCGCTGACTGCCATGGGGTCATGCTGGGTTTTATGTCAGGGTTGGTTTAAATGTTTCCATCAAAACTGGTTTTCAAGGGAATACTGGATTTTCATCAGAATGATTTTTTTGCGGTGTTTGCCCTGAACATTTTTTACTTTTAATTCAGAAAAGCAAAATATTTTCAAGTATCAGGGGGTAGCCGTGTTAGTCTGTATCTACAAAAACAACAAGGAGTCTGGAGGCACCTTAAAGACTAACAGATTTATTTGGGCATAAGCTTTTGTGTGTAAAAACCTCACTTCTGCAGATGCATAGAGTGAAAGTTACAGAGCTTTCTTTCACTCTATGCATCTGAAGAAGTGAGGTTTTTACCCATGAAAGCTTATGCCCAAATAAATCTGTTAGTCTTTAAGGTGCCACCAGACTCCTTGTTGTTTTTGAAAATATTTTCAGTTGCCCGAAACCAGATTCCTCCCTCCCCCGCATACACACATTTTTTGGATTTTCAACAACGTCAACATTTTCCACGTTGCGGGGAGGGGGAGCCACTTCCTGACCAGTTCTAATTTACATCAGTTACAGTCCTGTTTGAAAACTCCCAAGCCTTGGGGGTTGGACCACCTCCCTGAAGATGGGGGGCGTCTGAGAAAGAAGTTGGAAAATAAATCTTTTAACGGGTGTCACGGCCCTGCCCTGTTCAGTTACAGGCAGAGAAAACTCCCAATCCATATCTGAGACATCCCAGGAGACTTCCATTAAAACCAGGGAAGATCAGCTATTCATGAGGCTTTGAGATCTCCTGATGGAAGGCGCTAGGTACGTTTATTAGCTTCAGTAACACCCGCTGAGGATCCAGCCACTGGATTTGGGAGCTGCATGTCCTGGCTGCTTGCACCATCCCATGATCAGAGGTGGATTAAGGTCTCCTGGGGCCCTGGGCTGGAACAAGTGGGGGGGGGGGGAGAGAAATGCGGCCCCACCCCAGCCCTTCCATCTGTGACCCCGCCTCCATTCTGTCCCTTCCCCACAGCCCTGCCCCCATGCCACTCATGGCCCCATCACATTCTTCCCCTTCCCACGAGGCCCCGCTCCCACTCGCTCCTTTCTTCTCTGCCCCCAACCCGCTATGGCCCCAGGACCGGTAATCTGCCACTGCCCATCCTCTGCATTGTTCTTCCGCCTCCCACGACTGCCCATTTCCAGCTCCACACTTCACTACCTCCCCAGTGGTTCCCCCTAAGTTGCTTGTCCCGCCCTCTTCTTATGTCCCCCCCATCCCAGCTTCGGGGATGGAGGAGGGAAAATGAGTGTGGGACAGAGAATCAGGGGTCATTTGGTGATGGGGGTCCCTTACCTGTGTTTAGCGCAGATGCCGGTCGTACGCCCAGATCCGGAGAGCTCCCTTGAAGTTAACGTTCCGTGTTTGAACAGGGAAACTGGAAAGGGGCAGCTGCTTGGCTGCAAATATCAATAAATATGGAAGAGGAAATTACTCTTGCGTGACTCTGTACTTCCCCACCGCCGACGTCAGCCATGCTGAGAGACTCAGAGATTTCTAAGTCCCAAGAGACTCATGAGATCATTGCACTTCCTACAATTAATTCCTGTTTGATCTAGAGAAAAAAAAATCCCATCTTGATTGTCAAATTGCCGGTGCTGGAGAATCCACCCCAACTCCTGGGTAAATGGTTGAGATGGTTAATTACCCTTGCTGTTAAAAATGTACACCTTACTTCCCGTCTGAATTGGCCTAGCTTCAACTTCCAGCCCTTGGATCTTGCTAGATCTTTCTCTGTTAGATGATTATCAAATATTTGTCCCTTTATAGAAGTACTTATAGCCTGGGATCAAGTCACCCCTTACCCTTCTCTTTGCTAGCCTCACTCCATCTCGGTGACATGCACTGGGATGAGGTAACTCTGTGCATCCCACTAAATAACAGCTCCTACCAGGAGAAGGGCTCAGACTGGGGGGATCCATCCCGAAACCACTATCCTTAGAGCAGGAGGGTGGTGCGGTGGGGGGGATGTGCCCTTAGGGGCTGAGCTTCCCAGACAGAGAGTCCGGGAAGCACTCGTTGCTATCAGGGTGGAGACACTTTGTACCCCACTCGTCTTAGCAAATGTTAGTAGGAGCCCATTAAAAAAAAAAAAACCACAGGTGGGAATCTCTAGAATTATGCAACAATAGAAACAGATCTGACGTATCTGCCAAGCTGGGAGCTACCGTTCCCGTCAGCCTCCTCGCTGCTGACCTATGACCCTCCAGTACAGAAGGGAGATGAAGGAGGCACCATAGAGCCCAGAAATAAATTAATTACTTGGGATGGAGTGTGAGAACAAAACGGGGGAACCGGATGGGAACGCCGAGCAGAGAACCCCAGACAACGCCCGCTGCTTTGTACAGCTACATCCGTGGACACTGCTCAGAGGAGCTCTGTCCGGATGTGTGCAGGGACCAGCGAATGGGAAAGATCCCCACCGTCACAGAGCGTGCCCCATGAATTCCCGCTGCTCCTTCCTGGCCCGTTTGAAACCCAAGGCAGTGGGAGGAGCCCACCAGAGCTCAAGGCCTGCCCCTTTCGATGGGGGCGGGGCTACAGGCCATAGGAGATGACTGTTTGTGTGGGACAAAGAGAAAAGGAAAGTAAAAACAGGAATGGGAGAGTTCAAAAATAGGCACTGGACAATGAGTGCCGAGCAAAGTATCCTGGACACAGCACCTGTTGCTCTGTGGAGTCCAAGGAGTCAGCGAGTCGCACCCAGAGTTCAAAGGGGAAATCTTAGAGAATGCAAAAGGCCCAGCTGTTTAGATACCAGGGCTGGGACGTATAGGTGGGTGGGCGTTTCCCTTGGGGGTGGGGGTTTGCAGGCTTCCCGGTGCTGGGGAGAAGAAGGAGTCGATTGGAGGGGGTGAGCAGGCGGGCTGCAAGCCAACCCCAGGACAGAGGCTGCTGACAAAAGAGGAAGAGGAAAAAGGAAGGGCCGGGTCAAGAAGGGGCTAAGATGGAATATTTTGATGGTGTGTTTTACCGTTTGGACTTGAACCCCAGAAAGGATGGGCTTTTTGTCAAGTAGGGCTTGCTGACACTTGAAAATGTACTGAAATAACGACTCTAGAATAATGATTCTGGACTGGCTGATTCGATAGCATCTCCCATGCAGAAGCTTTTATTCTGGAGCAAGAGTGTCTACATGGGGGGTTTATACCAAAATAGCTATTCTGGAATATACTAGGTGGGTAAACTTCCAAGGGCAGACAAGCCCTTAACAAGAGGCTTAAGGCCTAACAGTGCTGGGACCTGAGAGACCCATCTCAAGGGAAACTGAGGCAATGGGTAGGCCTGAAGCCAGCTGGGGTAAGGTCCCTCTTCTAGTTTCCTTAAAGGAAAGTGGAAGTAAATAATATATGGGCGGCAACTCAGGAGACCTGGCTCCTATTCCTGGCTCTGCCACGTTCCTGCTGGGTGACTGTGGGCAAGTCACCGTCCACACTCTGTGCCTCAGTTTCCCCTCTGGGGATAATGATACTGATTTCCTTTGTAAAGCGCTTTGAGGTGTATTGATGAAAAATGCTACATATGAGCTAGAGATTATTATTATTGTGATCTTGCTAAGGAAAAACTTCATTTTATCCACAGCCTTAAGTTGTGAACATGAAATTAACTACATCACGGTCATTCATAACGACTGGCACTCACCCCGAACAATCACCCAAATAAATCAACAATTAGAAGCCATCGGATTATGAAAGTAACAGTGTCACGAGCTCAAAATAAAATACACAGTCAATGACAGCAAAGCACAACACTGGAATTAGTCACTGGGATGCGTTAGATACTAACCTGAAAGCAAAAAATGAGTCATTGTAATTAAGCCACAATATTGATCTAAAAGAGGAGGAACATGTCGGCGCTGGGGTTAGGGGCTGAAACTGCTTTGAACTCGCTTTTTGAAGTCAATTGCAAGTTGGAAGGTATTTTCAACGGGACTAAGGGATTTGCACCTCCAATTCCTATTGATTTTGTTCATCTAAATCCTCCCCCAGCTGGCTTTGAACCTCTCTGCTAAAATCTCTCTGGACATAACCACAATGAATGAAGAGAGCAACAGCGGCTGACAGACCAGCTGCTGCTAAGAGCACTTGCAAATATTTCCTACTTTGATCCTGAAAAAATAACAACCCGTGGGTGAAATTCTGGTCCCATTGACATCAACAGCAAAACTGCCGTCATCCTGGATTTCTTGAGTGTATAGAGAGCCTAGGACAGTGTTTAATTCGTTTGATTGAACTGGGGAAGGCTTCTTCTTGGTTGAGGCTTAGAGGGGAAGGTTTTTAAACTACCGGCCCTTGATGCGATCTGCTGCATTTCAACAACACAAAAAATTGCTCTTCAGATGAATGATTTTGGTAAACCTTTTGGATAAGAGATTTCCACCAACAAGGACTTAGCACCATCCAGACAGATGGTGATGCCGTGTGAGATAGGCAGAGATCACCCCAAAACAGCCGTCAGTTTGTTGGGAGAATTGTCCCAAGATTCTCCTCCGAGTGCCCCCAGCAAATCTAGTAATAAAAGGGAAAAAATAATCCGAACAGAACTGGATCTACTGCTATAAACAGACCCAGCGAAGGGAAGCAAAGTGAAGCTAATGACTGAATCCAGCCTTTGACCTGAATTCAGCTAGTTACCTTGCACCAGTTGAACTCCAACTACGTGTGGATCAGCTTGTATCCATGTCCTCCAACCTCCAGACCCCTTTGTAAGCCGGAGATCTCGTATACGCCAGTTCCTTGTCCAGCCTCTATGTCCTTGACTGATCTGAATGTTACTGCAAACCAGAGCTCGAGAACCACTCCTATCAGTGACTCAGAGGGAAAATGAAACTGATTTTTTTTTCTTCTCTTCATGAGATACCTGGTCAGATCTTTATGATGCTCATCCAAAGTGGCCTAAATTTTCACTAGAGTCTTTACAAAGACATTGCAGACTCCATGGCTACCTGGAACCTCAGAGGTTGCGTTTCTTTCTGACATGGATCTCGCTCCAGTGACCCAGGCCTTTGTCGCCTCCAGATTAGCTCGACCACCAAAAGTCCAATTGCAAAAGGCAGCTGGTGCAGAATACAGCAACCCACTCGGGAAGGGAGTGAAGGAACGCATCGGGAGCGCGGGGCAGCAGTGCTCTGGGAGATGCACTGGATGTTGACCAGGTTCAGAGTGGAGTTGAAGGTGCTGAGTTTGACTTAGAAAGCTCTAAAACAGGGGCGGGCAAACTTTCTGGTCTGAGGGCCACATCAGGTTTCAGAAATTGTATGGAGGGCTGGTTAGGGGAGGCTGTGGCTCCCCAAAGAACCAGGCATGGCCCGGCCCCCACCCCCATCCAACCCCCCCTGCTTCTCACCCCCTTACAGCCCCCCCGGAACCCCTGCCCTATTCACTCCCCTGCTCTCTGTCCCCTGACCGCCCACAGACCTCCCGCCCCTAACTGCCCCCCACCGCTCCATCCAACCCTCCCTCTCCTTCCAGACTGCCTCCCCAGGACCCCTGCCCCATCCAACCACCCCTCCCCTTCCTGACTACCGCCCCCAGACCTCCTGCACCATCCAACCACCCCTTCTCCCTGACCGCTCCTGGGATCCCTGCCCCCATTCAACCACCCCTTCTCCCTGACCGCCCCCAGACCCCCTGCCCCTAACTGCCCCCCTGCCCCATCCAACCCCCCCTCTCCTTCCTGACTGCCCCCCCGGGACCCCTGCCCCATCCAACCACCCCTTCTCCCTGACCGCCCCCGGAACTCCTGCCCCCATTCAACCCCCCACACCCCCGCCCCCTGACCACCCCCCTGAACTCCCCTGCCCTCTATCCAACCCCCCTCCCCCACCCCCTGCCCCCTTACCGCGCTGCCTGGAGCACCGGTGGCTGGCGGCGCGTCTGCACCAGGACAGGCAGCTGCACCGCGCAGCACAGAGCCCAGGGTCAGGCCGGGCTCTGCAGCTGCGCTGCCCCAGGAGCTCACAGCCCCGCCGTCCAGAGCATTGTGCCGGCGGCGCAGTGAGCTGAGGCGGTGGGGGAGGGAGGACAGTGGGGGGAGGGGCTGGGGACTAGCCTCCCGGGCCAGGATCTCAGGGGCTGGGCAGAACAGCATTATGTGGGCCCAAGTCCAACCACCCGTATCCCAGACTTTCTAGCGCCCTCCCAAAATGTGGTCGTGCTAGTCCTTTGTTGGTGGTGCTGTGTGGGAAAATTTGACTGTCCACCAAACTTGACTGTCCAGAGGACCAAGAAAGTCAGCCCGTGGGATTGTGGGATACTTTTGGCAGACTCCTGGAGCATGAGTCCAGTGGATGTGTATCTACGCTGCAAAGGAATAGGCCTTGAGTCCTGGCTTGACTCAGGCTCGGACCTTCTATCCCTGTGGGGCCCAGAGACCTTGGACCTGAGCCCTAGGTTGGTGC